GTGATCCAAATTATAGATTCTCTTGAGTTTCAAAGGAAACTTCAGGATACTTCTTTTCTTTGGAAGCCTTTGAAAACCATAAATGTGTCTCATGTGTCCAAGGTGTTTTAAATGTAATCCTGTTGCACGGGATGGATTGGATCATTTCCCCAAAGTCTCCAGATCCTACAGTAGCAGCCTAGTGATTCTGTCACTCCTCAATATCATTTCTTCCCAAACTACAGAAATCTTCAATGCCAGTGACCAATGATCTTTACATCCACAATATAGTAAGTTCTTGACCAAAATGATAAGCAACAGTTAAGATGAACAACTCAAAATTGTTATCGAATTGATTCAGTACAATTACAAATTAGTTCAATACAAAAAAACATTTCTATTAAGTGCCTACTATATTGGACTTCATTTAGTTCATCTGTTTCGCAATCAGATTCCTTTCCTTTTTATATCTGTCCTCATTCCTCCATCCCAGGGACTGGTCACTGCTTGGTTCATATTGGTCCCTAGACTCATCCATAGCTCAGTGATCTCTCCTAGGGGACTATTTACCCACAATTATCAAACTGTTCCAGCTGGAGCCTTATATCAGACATAATTCCACTGGCAGGTGTGGCCCTGGAGCTTGGTTACTGATTCTTTTTAGGTCTCTAGAGGTAACAAGAGTTTGGGGGAATCTTTCTAATGCCACTGTGCTTACCACCCATTATAGTGTTCTCCATCCAATATCGTTGCCAGTGATTAGCCGCTGATACAATTTAATGTGTTGACATCTCCTAAGTGTCACCCATAAACAATGAACATCCATTTTCTATAATAGAGGATATTTGCAGAAATGATACAGCAAGAACTAAAAGTAGTCCTAGGACTAGAATCAAGTAGTCCTAGGACTAGAACCTAGTAGTCCTAGGAGAAACTAAACAAGTTAAAAGTTGTGAGTATAAAACATTTCCACCACTGAATTCACTTCCAAGTGAGACATAGATGATGGATGAAATACAACCTTGCTTGCAGGACATGATGTCTAGGTTACCGGGACAATTAACTGCTGGACTGGATCAAGTAGGTCATTTCTTAGGGCTAGCTGATTCCTATGCTCAGATGCCAGATTTATGGTGCCTCTTTTGATATTTTGAAGCCCATAAGATTTCATCCTGGCCCTTTCTGGTACTTATCAGTGTCTTGGATAGTAAGACCTTAAAATGCTAGTTGACTGATTGACTTTCCATCTCTCATACTCAATAGGAATCTAACTATTGGGAAGAATATATACAGTAGGAAGAGAAGAAACAGTGATGCCTTGTATTCAAGGACACATGTTGGACTGGGTAATGAGAGCAGGACATTGGTGTTACTTCTCTCCTCACTCACAGATTTGCAGAAGATCTTGCCTCATTCACTACCAGGAAAGAGAGAGTTCAAGTTCTTTTAGTACACAAACATAGGGAAACTATCTCTATTCTACAGGAACTTACTTGGTGATGGTGTCAGTGTATGTGTGGGGTAATGTATATAGCATGCATGAATATAGCTTTCTTTTCTATGTTTGTTGTTGTTCAGTTGTTTTTCAGTCATTTCCAACTCTTTGTGACTCCATTTGCAGAGATACTAGAATGGTTTACCATTTCCTTCTCCAGTTCAATTTATAGATGAGGAAACTGAGGCAAACAGGTTTAAATGACTTGCCCAGGGTCACATAGCTAGTAAGTGTCTAAGGCCAAAAGTGAATTCAGGAAGATGAGTCTTCCTGACTCCGGGCCTGGCACCTTATCCACTGTACCACCTAGCTGCCCTTTCCTATGTTTAGCTGCATCATAAAATGTCCTCCTTTGATCTTCACTGAAAATGTCACCAATGTCTTCATCAGCTTCTCAGGGTTGTCCTATTGTGTCACGGTTGGTATGATTTCCTGATCATCAGGACACAAATCCTTTAGCACTGAGCTATGGGTGTCACTAAAACCAGCTAGGGGAGGTCAGATGTTGCTTGAGGTGTGTTCTAATCCAACCTTTGCTATAGAATAAAAAGGGAAATACAATGAGGACCTTCCTTCCTTGACCTGCTCTCTTTCCAGAGACATAATTCATTAGTTAATGTAGTAAAATAAAAAAATGACAACAAGCATTTTCCAAGTGCATATAGTGTATGACAACCTAACTAAATCTATTACCAACATGATTATACTCTGCTGAAATCAGAATCATATTTCAATGCCACTGGTATCTACTGGTGCAAGTGTCTCTAGGCAAATAGGAGGAAAAAAGTCATTCACCATCTCAGCTGCCCCATTCCTTGTTGGGGTCTGAAAGTCAGCTTCCTTTTGAAAGTACTGATTGGACAATTTCATATGTAAGGCATAAAATTCATGGCATTGTTGCTGGTGTAGTGAAAAGGAGGCACTTGTAGCAGCACCTTATGCTTGCTCCCAAGTCCTTGTCACTTGCAGGGCAGCTCTTCTCTCCACCTGTGCCAGATGTACTGGAGAGCTCTCACCATGGTCTTTCTCCAGGTCTCCTCATGCGGTCTCCTTAGTCATCCCTCTGGGATCCTAGCCAAGGTGTGTGAACTCTGAAGGACAAGTGTTACTCAAAGCCTCTTCTCTCACAGGTCTTTGGTCTTTTAAACTCTCTTTTTTCATGATCTCATTTATAACATATATACAGGCAGGTAGATGGTACAGTAGATAGAGCACTGTACTCAGAGTTGGGAAGACCTGAGTACAAATCCTGCTTCAGACACTTATTAATTGTCTGAAGTCAGGGGCGACTCAGAAACACCTGAGTTCAAATACTGTCTCAGAGGCTTAAAAGCTGTGTGACCCTGTGCAAGTCATTTAACCTTTTTCTGCCTCAGTTTCCTCATCTGCAAAATGAGGATGATAATAGGACTCATGTCCCAGGGTGGTTACGAGGATCAAATGAGACAACATTTGTAAAGCACTTTGCAAATCTTAAGGCACTAGATAAATTCTAGTGATCACTATCATTATCATTGGGCAACTCCATCCATGTTACTTGCCCTGTGACTGTTATCCCTGCATTTCCTACTTTTTCCTCACATTGAAAATATTCAAGAAACTCTAGTGGAAAAACAGTAGCTGGATGAAATGACCTGCTCCATCCAAAGTAACATCAATTAAACTGGAGAGTTCCCGATGAGAAATGTTGGGTTGAAATAACCCGAGCAACTCAAAGTTGTTTTCAGTTCAATTCTATTCAATTTGATAAGCAGTTATTAAAAGGGACTCCTATATGACTCAGAGGGAGCTGAGCCCTTGAGAGGGCCAATGAGTGCCCTATATCAGTTGGATGGCCTTGACATTGCTTGGCTCCTGGGATGTCTGCTTCACCCATAAATGACCAAATTCCTCTCCTTTTAGATCCTGTTATATGTTTCCCCTAGCCTCTGGTACACTGCGTCCGGCAGACAACAAGTTAAGTACTTACTTGTGCCAGGAATTGTGCCAAGTGATGGGGATGCAAACCCAAGCAAAAAGAAAGGCAATCCCCACCCTCAAGGAACTTACATTCAAATGGGGGAAGACAACCCATAAAGAGAGCTGAAAAGAGGTGGGGGTTGGGGTGGGTGGGAAGTGAGCATGGTGCTGAAGTCTGAAGAGTCAGGAGGGGAATGAAGCATGGATGGACTGGACTAGTCCCCAAAATGGAGGCCACTGGAAGGAACTCCCTGATGGGAGAAGGAAGCTGGCTCAAGGGAGGGAAGTTCCAGGGTGAGAAGGTACCAGATGAGAAGGAAAGTTGAATGGCATTGAAATCCAAGCACCATTTCCTGTACTAATGTCCTCTAGTGTGTATTGTATAGTACTTAATGCATCATTAAAAAATCTCTCTCTCTCTCTCTCTCTCTCTCTTTCTCTCTTTCAGACCTGTGATTTTATCAGTGTTGGGCTGGTGTGGAAGTTTTTTCTCCATTGATTCAGATCCACAATTCTGCTGTAACTTAAAGTCTTAGAGAATTGTTAGGGACAAGAGTTCTTTACCTGGGGCTCATGAACTTGTTTTTTTAAAAATGATAAATATATTTAATTATAATTGGTTTCCTTTGTGTGTATTTTCTTTTATGTATTTAAAAACAAGATTCTGAAAAGGGGTACATTACTTCACCAAGATAGCCTAAGGGATCCGCAGCCCCCCAAAAGTTAATATCCCTTGACTTAGACTAACCTCCTCATTTTTGTGGAGAGGATACTTATTCAGGCATGAATTGGGCTAGAAGGCCACTGAGGTTTCATTCATATACGTTGGTAGGACCTACCACACAGAAATGCTATAAGACTTAAATGAGATAATGCATTTAAAGTGCTTTGCAAACCTTAAAAATCTGTATAAATATCTGAGCTTGACATGGTCTCTGTATCCAGAAAAGTGAGGTAGGGCTCTATGCCAGTCAGTCTGTAAACAAACCTTTATTGAGACCTTCCTATGTGCTCAGCACTGTTCATGTCGGGGATCTAAGGTGGATAACTTGGCAGGAAGGCTTGAAATCATCTCCCTTGTCAATCAAAATTAGTTTCTTGACTCTGAATGGCTAGAGTGCCTCTTGAACTCATGGATCTAGGGGAAGGGCCAGATTACCAGGACGGATGGGGAGAGTCTGTTGGGATGTCCACGTTTCTTTGGAGCAGAGATGGGTCCCACAACGGGATGGGAATCCAGGTTTCCCAGGGGGCTTCTCTGCTCTACTGGACAACACAAGGTTGGGCGAGAAGGATAGGTGACAGGCTATGAAAATTCTGATACTTGCTTTTTCAGAGGGACCATAACTTAGCTCTCTGGCCACAAGAGGGAAATTTGGCCCCTTTCTTGTTGAAGCAGTGGGGTCCACAGGTTTCAAGGGAAGTCAGGGTCTAATAATAAGTGCTGTGGTTAGGAGGTCCCTTAACATCCTGACTCCCTTGCATGATTGCATTTACTTTGCATAACTTCCTCTGCCCTCAAAAACTGTTCCTTTTCAGAGGTGGGATAAAGGGGGCATCTCAGTAATTGATGTTTGTTAATCAATCTCCCATAGTTCAGACTCTGCAGGATGTTGTTTCTGGCTGGACTCTTGGGTTTGCTGGTGTTCTGGATGAAAGGTGATGGAAAGTAGAAAGGAAGAATAGGTGATAGAGAAACCAAGCCAGAATCAGTCTAGTCTTTCTGCTTACCCTCATGAAATGGGACAGGGAAGGGATATTGTTCTGGGTTTTTGAGAAACAGGATGGAGCCAAATGTCTATGGAACAATTTATGGGTTCTCTCTTGGCTTGCGATGTGGGGGAGTGGAATAAGGTCTCTAGGACTGGATGTGATTGAGAGAAAAAGAGTTACTTAAGTGGTGAGGGTACATGTTGGTGTGTGTTGATTTTAGATAACGTAAGATTATAGATTTAGAGCCAGAAGAGACCTCAGAGCCATATGGTTCAATTATTTAATTTTATACATGAGGAAACTGAGGCCTGCAAAGGTTAAGTGACTTCTCCAAGGTCACACTAGAACTAACTTCAGAAGTAGGATTTAATCTCAGGTCCTTCAGCTCCAGAAACAGTGTTCTTTCTATGTCTAAGATAATATTTGAAAAGGTGTTTGATCTGAAAAATTTCTACTCTGAAGTTTTTATGGTATTTCTCAACTCAGGCTCCCATGGACAAGTTTCGGTAACTGAGTCCCCAGCCTTCTTGTCTGGGTTCCCAGGAGAGAGGATCGCCATCACCTGCAAGACCAGTAAGAGTATAATTGAAAGCCAAGGCACCAGCTCCATGCACTGGTACCAACAAAAGCCTGGCCAAGTCCCAAGGTTACTCATTCACCATGCTTCCATGGTGGCCCCTGGGGTCCCCACACGGTTCAGTGGCACTGGGTCTGGGACAGATTTCACATTTATAATCAGTAGTGTGGAGGCGGAAGATGCTGCTGGTTATTACTGTCAGCAGGGCCATAATGTTCCTTATCCACAGTTCTTTAACCCAGATCTAAAACGTTCCTAGTCTGGTTGATAAGGGCAGTGCTGCTGTTCCCTCCTGCTTCTCCTTCCTAGCAGCTGATGTGGGGATTGCTCAGATGTGAACTCTTTGAGTCTATGTAAATGTAAGCAAGGCTCAAGGGATGGGACCAGTTCACAATTCCAGTAACAGTGCTTTAGTGTCCCAATTTGTCCACATCTCTTCCAGCATTTGTTGTTTTCCTTTTGGTATCTTAGAGTTGTTTTAATTTGCATTTCTCTAAAAAATGCTCTAAGTCATTGCTGATTAGAGAAATGCAAATTAAAACAACTCTGAGATATGATATCCACATTTTATTAGTACCTTTGGCCCCTTTGATTAGAGGGTGGACTCATAAACTCTTCCATATAAGGAGAAGGGAAATATAGACATCATCTACTAAGACATCTCCACATTTCCCACCCAGCTACACTTATTTTGGAAATATTTGGATACCCTACCATACCTCCAAGAGTAATTTTCTCCCAACCCCTCCCCCCACTTTTTTTTAGCTTTCTTTGTGTGTGTGTGTGTGTATTGTCTTTCCCCATTAGAATGTAAGCTCCTTATATCGTACTAGAAATGTTAGCTATAGCAATAAGAGAAGAAAAAAGAAATTGAAGGAATTAGAATAGGCAAAAAAGAAATAAAACTATCACTCTTTGCAGATGATATGATGTTATACTTAGAGAATCCTAAAGAATCAACTAAAAATGACTTGAAATTATTAACAACTTTAGCAAATTTGCAGGATACAAAATAAACCCACATAAATCATCAGCATTTCTATATATTAGCAACAAAGTCCAGCGGCAAGACATAGAAAGAGAAATTTCATTTAAAATATCTGTAGAAATATAAAATACTTGGGAGTCTACACAATTTGGAACAATCTATATATATATAATCTACATATATAAAATATTTGGGAATTTACAGCAATTTGGAACTATGCCCAAAGGGCCATAAAACTGTGTATACCCTTTGATCCAGCAATACCACTGCTAGGTCTATATCCCAAAGACATCAAAAAAGGAGAAAGGAAATAATTGTACAAAAATATTTGTAGCAGCCCTTTTTGTGGTGGCTAAGAATTGGAAATCAAAGGGATGCCCATCAATTGGGGAATGGCTAAACAAGTTGTAGTGTATTATTGTAATGGAATATTACTGTGCTATAAGAAATGACAAGCAAGATGATTTCAGAAAAACCTAGAAAGACTTACATCAACTGATGCAAAGTGAAGTGAACAGAACCAGGAGAACTTCATACACAGTAACAGTAATATTATTTGATGAAGAACTGTGAATGACTTAGCTATTCTTAGCAATACAATGATCCAAGACGATCCCAAAGAACTAATGATGAAATATACTTTTTCTTCTTTCTCTCTTTCTCTCTCTCCCTCTCTCTCTCTCTCTCTTTCATTTTTATCTTTTATTTGAGTCATCTTATACAAAATGACTAATATGGAAATATTTTACATTACTGCACATGTATAAACTATATCTGATTGCTTACTGTCTCAGGAAAGGAGAAGGGGAGGGAGGGATAGAATTTGGAACTTAAAAATTTTAAAAAATACTAAAAACATTGTTTTAACATACAATTGGGGGAAAAATATATTTTTAAAAAGAATGTAAGCTTCTCGAGGGCAGGGATTGTCTTTTTTGTATTTGTTTCCTTAGCACTTAGTATAGTGTCTGACAAACAGTAGGTAATTAATAAACGTTTACTAACTTTTGACTAATTCACCTAACCTCTTTTGTCCTCAGTTTCTTTCTCTGTAAAATGAGAATGTCGGATTAGATGATTTCAAAAGTACTTTTCATCTCTAAATCTGTGATCCCATGATCCTATATCTTTTTCTGGTTTCTTGGAGCACTAGACCATAGTGTCTTAGACATTGTGGTGGAATTTTCGTCAGTGTAAAAATGATCTTCCACCTAGGACCACATACCTTAGCAGGCCTCCTGGAGACCGTTATTGTTCAAAATAACAAGGTTTCAGGGTCTGCTAGGAGCTGGAGCAACTCTCTTCTGCTCCTTTATCCCCTGGTTATGCCACTTGCTTTGCAGAGTTCTGCAGAAATGGTGCTTCCAGAGAGTTATAAAGAGGTCCTTTTATGAGTGATGGGTTCAAGCACAGCAAGATTAAGTCACCATCCCAGTTCCTTGGTTTTCTTCTGCTCTGGGTCCCAGGGGAGAACATGTGATAATGAAACAGGCAGATGTGCTCTTTTCTAATGAGATGGGAGGTTTAAAAGTCACTTGGGAAAATGTGGGGAGTACATGTATTTCTATCATAACAAGAGATGGTTTGTACTAACAGGATGCTTGTGGGCTTAGTGCCAAGATTCAGGAAAATTGCATTGGTTTGGGGCATTAAAGGACATCTCTCATTTCTGCCTTTAGACTTCAGTGGGGACATAATGTTCACCCAGCCTGACTTCCTTTCTGGGATCCCAGGAGAGTCATTGTCAGCTGCAAGATCAGTCAGTGAGAAACATTATGATGGGAAAATATACCCAAATTGGCTCTAATAGAAACCTACATCTCATCCACACAGTTTTCATCTAGCACTCTTTGGTCCCTGCCAAAACTGCACTGAGTAGGAGATTGGATTAATTGTCTTTGAAGGTCCTTTCCCAGTCTCAGAATTTGAAATCTTATGGCCAATTCTAGATCTAATCACTTTCAGTGCTATACATAAATGTAAATTATTATTTCCATTGTTATTGCTCTTATTATTTTAATTATTACTATAATAGTTATTATAGTTTTATTTTTATTATATGTTCCATCCTCTACCACCACCACTCCCAAACCTAACTGTTGCCTCTTAGCTGAGGACATTGATTCTTTTGAGATTATGTCCTCTAAACTGACAGGTGTGTCCATTATCACTAATTACTATCTTGATGTGATTCAAATTGAAATGAACCTGGGATAAATAACTATCCAAATATTCTTTTTTATAAAAGTTACATAAAGCAGTGTTCTATGGACTACTATGCAGATGGTTAAGTAAGTTATTTAGATGAATAAAATTATAAGTATGCAAGCTCTGCCTTTGTAGGTAGGTTTCCTCCAAGCATCCTCAGTATAACTCCAGCAGCAAACAAGACAAGACCTCACCCTGTTCTCATGTGATTTTGATCTCCTCCACTAGGTCTTTATGCTTTGAGATCTTTTTGTTTCACATGGACTGGACATGAATATTTAGTAGCATGACATCTATTAAAATGTTTTTTTTTCTAAGTTTTATGTCCAGGCAATTGTGGGCAACATTTTTAGTCTGTGATAATGGTCTGATTCTGGTACAATCTATTCACTGAATTCTCTGGGTGATTTTGAGATAGTATGGGGATTTGTAAACTATTAGTTCATGCAAAATAGTGGCCTTCTGATATGTAATTCCAGCTACCAGGTCACGTCTTGCCAGGAATTTGAAAGATGCTAAATTCTCATAGCCTTCAGGGATGTTTTGTCATTTCTATCATTTTTTTTGAATGATTTACATTGATCACTAAATCTAAGCTACTTAAGAATAACCCTTCTGGAATTTCTAGCGGCAATGTCTTGGTCCTGAATTGTCATCATAAACTCCAACAAATTCATAAGACCAGTCCACTTGTCCAAAGCTTCTTTGTGTGTGTTGTTAACTGAGCTCATGTGGATGTCACTCATGTAATTCTATTCTTGGAATTATACACAAGAACACTGGTATCATGTGGGTGCTAGTTGCTAGTTCTTTCCATTCACCTTTACCTTCAGGATGCCAGTCAATCCCTTAACATATTCAGTCTTTTTTCTTGATATTATATTTGTTGTGTCTTACCCGGAGGAGACCAAGCTATTGTTTTCATCTGGCCTCCAGATATAAGTGTGAGACTGTGTCCTTATCTTTCCTTTATACACATTAAGAATTTTACACATATAAAGTCCAAAGGATATTTTAAAATTATTGGAGAAAAAATCCACAAGATGAAAGAGTGGATCAGTTTTTTTTTATGCAGTCATGTCGTGTGATGTCATCCTACTACACATCACAATCAATAAGATGTTTTGGCTTGACTCCCTCTTTAATTTGGAAGTCACATTTAGGAGAGATATGAATGAATTTAAAGATAAGCAGAACCATTATTGGTTGAAATTATTTCCTGGAAAATGTCACATTTTATAGTAATTATTCTTGAAATTATTGGTTTATTTTTATTATCATCATAACTTTTTTTGTTTTGTTTTTAGGCAATTGGGGTTAAGTGACTTGCCCAGGGTCACACAGCCAGTGAGTGTCAAGTATTTGGTCTGAGGCTGGATTTGAACTCAGGTCCTCCTGAATTTAGGGCCGGTGCCCTATCCACTGCGCCACCTAGCTGTACCATCATCATAACTTTTTAAAGGTAGTTAATATTATGTCTAACATTTATGTAGCATCTTTGAACAGAGTTCAAAGCACTTTGCATAGATTTGTTCATCTCATTAACCCTTAAAATAGCCTTGTGATGTCAGTAGTGTGTACAGGTGAGGACATAAACCTAGAAGTGAGGGACATAATTTGCTCAAGGTCATTGAGATGGAGTTTGAACTTTTGACTCCAACACCAGTGCTCTTGAAAAGGTCATTCCCTTGGTTGCCCCCCACCACCAGAAAAGGAATGGGATACTAAAGATAGTATGAGATTAAGGGGCTTCTGTCCAAGTTTGGACCACCAAGCTTCCTATAGAGAGCTCATCTGAATAGCCACAGTGATAGTTTTAGAGATGGGTTGCAGGTGAAGGTCCAGGGTGTAGATCCTGCAAAGAATGAGGATAGAGAGTCAAACTCCCTGAGAGGAAGAGGCCCCCCTCCCACATTCTGCCACCATATAAACACCTTTGCTCCTTTTCAGTCCCTCCCCTAACTTCTCATCTCCGTCCTAAAGGACCAGCACACCTATGGATCCTGGAGTGTAAATGGGCTTGTCTGTCTGCATGAAGATATATCCACTATGATGGCCAACTA